CACTCACAGGCACACAGACACACTCTCTCACACACACACTGTATGATTACACACACAGACACATACAGACACCTACACTCACAGGCACACAGACACACTCACACACACTGAATGATTACACACACTCACAGACACACACAGACACACTCTCACACACCGACTGTATGATTAGTGCAGAGCATATGAAGACGCAGCAACAGCTGGGCTATGGCGAGGTGAGCCCGCAAAGGTGCCTGTCACCTCCCAGCCCCCCGCAGGAGGGAAGGGGTGCTCCCAGCGCGTGAGTATGTGCCGACTCCTGCCCTTGATGGCCTCCCTCTGTGACGGGCTCGGCACTTCCTTGATTGATGGCACTTCGGCTTAAACTGCTTTGTTTGTTTCACTGTGACACTTGGAAGAGGGTCTGGAAGCCTCTTGATTTTGTGGTTTCTCCTTTGCAAAAAGTAAACAACTGCTCTTTAATTTCCGTGAGTCACTCTGGCCGTGTTGTGCAATCACTTTATTGGAAATGGGAATTTAAAGTGGGTGAGCTTACTTTCCCCCCCCCCCCCCCCCCCCCGTGTTCTCCACACTGAGCATGTCCCCTACTCCATTGGTGATTTGGGCCCCAACACACATGCCTTCCTAGGGAGAGTCCACAGAACTAGGGCTCCTCTTACCTAAAGGAGTGGCGGAGAAAGGGCATGTTCGGGTGAACGCATGCCAAGGGCCTGTGCTCCACCTTGCCCTGGTCCCATGACAAAAGCATGGTCTGGGGCAGACAGTCTCTAGTCTCGGGAGACTTTTGTCTGGGTGCCCCTTCCTCACCCAGCTCCCGCTTGTTGCTTTCTTGCTGCTGTCACTTCATGCTGAAGTCCTGGTTTCCCTTCTCTCATCCGGAATGCCAAACAACCTTTGGCCTACACACCAAAGCCCAAAGCACTTGCCATGCCTGGCCAGTCATGGGGGAGGGGGTCTTCAGGTGAGCATCATGGCTGATAGTGCTCTGGCACTTGCAGATCTGTTTGGAACCAGGAGGATGCTTTGCCTTCCTTTCTCTTGTGGCGCCCTCCGTCCTCCCCCCGCCCCGCCACCTTACTCAAGGGGCCTCAAGAGAATGAGGTTTTTTTCTGTCGCTTACTTTTCTGGTATCTATAATTGAAATCTTGACAGATGCAATTTAGGGGAAGTGGCAAGGACACACTTGGACTCATGTTTGAGCAAGTACAGTCCGTCACAGAGGTAGGAAAGAGTTCCTGGCAGCTAGAGTGTGAGGCTGCAGATCTTCACATCCAGGAAAGAGGAAACTCAGGCCAGGATTTGTGAGGGACCAGCCCCAGGGACCCATTTCCTACAGTGAAACTCTGCCTGAAGGGTCTGGCAAATTCCCACATAGTACCACCAGCTGAGAAACGAGTATCCAGACACAGCAGCCCGGGTAGGGACAGCTCACACCCAACCCATGAACTTCAAGTTTCTGCCAATTTTACTCTCTGGTGTCTTGCAAACATAAAACCAGACAATTGACTTCTTTCTCTTTGGCGTTCTAGTATAACTGTGTCCTCTGCATCCTTGGGTATAGATCCGATCATGCTGCCTTTTTGATTAGCATATACGGCTTGCAAGGCATTGTTCCAATAACTCCTACATATGTATTCATTAAGCTTCCCAGGCAAAGACAAGCTTCGGTAGTATTGAAACTATTTACTAAGACACTACCATTAGAAAAAAATCTAATCTAACAAAAAAAATTCTTTGGCTCAACACAAAACTATCCTTCATGGAGGAGAGCAAGAAGGGGAAGGAGGGAGGCTTCCCCGGTGTAAGCGGGTTTTTTCTGTTTGTTTTCTGTCCTTTGCCCCTGCACTGACAGCCGGTGGTGGGTTAAGACATGGACTCCCTGTGTTTTGACTGTGACTTGCCACATGCTGAAGTTTTCACCTGACAGCCTACTTGTGTTCAAAACTATTTAGGTTTTAAACTAATTACTATTTAAAGTGTTTCAGTTCCTATAGATGATCTTTGATCCACTTAGAGTCCGTGTTTGCGTGAGGTGGGTAACAGAGTTCTGGTTTCATTCTTTGCTGTGTGGACATACAGTTTTGGTTAAGCGCTATCTTTTCTCCTGTTTTTCCAAAGACCCCAGTCTTGGAATCTTTGTCAAAAATTAAGAGGCTGTAGCTCTGGGTTTCTATCTGGGCTCTCTCTTCTGTTTCATTGATCTACGGGTCTGTTTTTCTGCCTTTTTTTTTTTTTCTGTAATCTGTAACATAACTTGAAGTCAGGGATGGTAATCCATTTTGCTCTGGGTTAGTTGGTTAACCATCATTTTTTGTGTTTCTGTATGATTTGCATTTATCTTATTTCTGTGCATAACATCATTGTCTATGACCCTGTAGCTAGTAAAGTTAAAGGCCCTTGGAGAGAACTTACAACTGTTATTCTGCCTCACGAATGAAGTGTTAAACCAACTCCTCATGGCTTATCATTGCTCCTATAGACTAAAGCACCACCCATCCTTCATCAGAGAAGCATCTATTTACGGTGGGTGGTGCAAGTAGAGGCCCTAATCTGGCCAAAGTGCAGAGAAGAAGAGAGTGCCCGGCTGTTAGAGGAAATAGAAGCATGACATTAGAATCCTAGTGGGGATGGCATCGTTTCTGTGACTGCATGGGGGATAGCCATTTCCCAGCACCAGCTCCTTGGTCCATGGCCACGGGGTGGGGGTATCTTTCCATCTCCTCGTGTCTCAGTTTCTTCAGTGTTTCAAATGTGTGGCTGTAGAGTTGCACCATCTTGGTTGGGCTTATTCTTGATGTTTAGGTAGTTGAAAACAGAATTATTTTTCTGATTTTTTTGTTCTCAGTATGTTTGCCATTGGTCTACAAAAAGTCTATTGAGTATTTTTTTGTTGTCATTGTTGTTTTGTTTTTTATAATTTTGTATCCTGCCTCTTTCCTGAAGGAATGTGATAGCTCCAAGAGGTTTCTGGTTGATTATTTGTGGTTTTGTATCGAGAACCATACCTTCTTCTCTTATTTGTATTTCTTTTCCTCTCTTGTCTCACCACTCTGGTTAAGAGTTCAAGTACAATATTAAATAGGTGTGGATAAAGTGGGTACACTTTTTGTCCTGATTTTAGTGGAAATGCTTTTAGGTTCTTTATTTGTCTGTTTAGCATGATGTAGCTTTGTCAAGCACAGCCTTTACTATGTTGAGACCTAAAATTCAAGCTGATAAAGGAAAACTGGAAGAAACACCTTGACACACCAGCACAGGCAAGCACTCTCTGAACATGACCCCATTTACTCAGAAAATGGCGCATCAGTTGAAAAATGGGATTTTGTGAAATTAAAAGACTTCTTCATAGCAATGAAACCAACATATGTAATGAATAAGCAGCCTACAGAATAGGAGAAGAATTTGCTAGCTATAAGTATGACAGAGGTTTGATATCCAGAATATATAAGAACTCAGGTTTCAAGACCCCTAGTAACTAAAGGCTTGAGACTAGAACACTGTGAGAACTCAAAAAAAAAAAAAAAAAAAAAAAGAGTCAGTCTTAATAAACCAAACAATCAAATAAATAAATGGGCTAATGAGGTGAGCAGGTGCTTCTCTTCTGAAAAGATGACGCTTGCATCGCCAATAGTCACATGAAACATGTTCAATGTCACTAGGGCCACCCAGTGATGGAGATAACTGCAAATAAAACCGCAGTGAGGTCCCGTTTCCTCCCAGTCAGATTAATCTGTCATCAAGAAAATGGATAACAAGTGCTGGCAGGGTTTGGGCAAAGGGGAACTCGGTGCCAGAGGCGGAACTGGGAGCTAGTCTAGAAACTATGGAAATCAGCCTGCAGGTTGTGGAGAAATCTGCAAATGGATCTTCTTAGGACTCCCATTTGCCACTCCTGGGATGTTTCCCTAAAACAAATCCAGTATATTTGTTGAGCTTCATTCTCTGAGAAATAACGATCGTATGTAGATATAAAAAGATTCTTTGGAGATGTATAAAACATTCAGACTTTATAATTACTCCCCCAGAACATGTTCTTTTACAGTGCCTGTAATGTTTCACACTTGATTTTTCAGAGTTACAGTTGTATGGAGAAATATCAGAAATGGGCGTTTGCAGACCAGTCACCAGGGTGATGGGCAGAAGGCACAGTGCTTTCGTTTGGCAATCAATCCCAGCAGCCTTGCTAGACCAGTCACTAGCCGCTCCTCTGAGTCACTGCCCTTTCCAACTACCGCTTTTTAAAGTTATTAAAAAACAAAATAAACTCCAAAGTACCTCTCTCTTGAACTCCAAAGCAAAAGATACAGAGAACAGAAAGTTAATCAGCACTAGATTTGTGATACAGATTTAAATTATTTCTTTCCTAGGTTGTGACACGGGCATCTTTACGTTATTTTAAGGTAGACAGAGATGAACGTCTCTCCTTGCACTTCCTCTTAAATGAAGCAAAGCATCTAGAGGAATTAACACAGAAGTAACACAGAAGACAATGCAAAGGAAACGGACGCAGTGAAGGATGAATACACAGAAACGTCAAGCATGATTGTCTGTGAAGAAACCCCTCTAAGACATGATCCCCATGGGGTTCACGCATGTGGCTCGCCCTGATGTCACATGCTATGTGACCGGCTTAAACCTCAACTGCTGCAGAGCAAATAAGGTGGGTGTTTCCTTCAGGGATCTTCACCTGAACTGCGGCAGCAGCACGGGGGACTCTCTCCCCTGCCACCAATGCACCTTCAAAGCAGGGCTTATGTGAGTGTGATAAGGTTTCACATTAGTGATTTCTGTGCACATCAGATGTGTCTACAGTAACATTTTATAAAGCAACTGAAAGCTATTACAAAATGCAAATGTGATCCAAAATGAGGGAGTGCTTTGATAAGATACCAGAAACAATTGCAAGCTTGACCTAAGAAAAAAAACAAGAAAACTTCAATAGTCAGCTTGTTTTTCCTGTCCAATTATTTGACACTTTAACGCTTTCAATGAAGTTAATCTTAAACTTGAATTTGTAAGTACTTTTGTCTATACCTAGTTCATGACTCCTAGATTTGCAGAACGGAAACAAACAACAACAAAAGTTTCTGTAGCATTAACTGGAGAAGAGAATAGTCTGCTTGGGGAGGGAGGCGAATCCTGAGACTTTGCATGACCGCTCCGATGACCCATGACCTACCGATGCGATGCGGAGCCTCTTCTCGAGCAGAGAGCACAGCCCTCCTGGCCCTGGCTTTCTGAGTGGTGCGCTCCACTTCTTGTAAATCACATGACACACACTTTGATTGCGGCTGTCTGTTACCAGACTCAGTGAACCAAAATAAGCAGCTCACAAGAAGCGTTTCGGCGAGGACTTTCTCTTCTTTGAGTGTTGCCGGCCGCTCGTTCTCCCCTCGGAGGTACAGAGAAGAGGAGGGAAGGGCCTCACGGTCCCGTAAGTGGGTCACAGCAGTTTCAGGGCGCCAAAGAAGGTGCCGTCTCCATCCCGTGAGATCTGTGCGTTCTCCCGAGGTATGGCGAGCTGAATTTCGTCCCCTTCTTCCAGCCGCGCAATGCCTGGGAGAAAGAGAGTGAGCTCAGTAGAGTGCATTAGAAGAAGCTGCTGTGCGGCGTCAGCACAGGTACTGACACTTCACTCACAACACTCGTGCCTACTGCTGTCCGCTTTAACACTACACGAAAGAGTAAGTTAGGAGGAGAAACAACGGACTCCCGCAGGTGGACCTTCACTGTCTGCAGACAGGGATCCCAGCGGCAAATATCAATGTCAAAGTTAAATTGAATCCTGTTCTTTGAGAGAATCCCGTAGAGTCACGAAAGAAGCCTAGCATTATGGAAGCCTTTTTCTTTTGTGTTATTGTCGGGTGAGCATGAGTGATGTGTATGGACACATGTCACAGCGCACATGTGAAGGTCAGGACAACCTTGTGGAGTTGGGTTTCCTTCCCACCTTTACATAGGTTGTGGGCTCAAACATTGCCAGGCTTGTGTGGCAAGTACCTCTACTCACTGGGCCATCTACCAGCCCACAGTTATACCTAAAATCTGCATTAACTATAAATAGCTTTGAAGGTTTAAAAAATAAGCTGCCCATGGTGTCACATGCTAACGTTCCCAACCTCAGAGTTCAAGGCTAGCCTGGGCTGCACATGGAATTAAAACTGAGCCCAGGCTACAGAGCAAGACCCTGAGTCAAAAGCCAACAATAAACAGGTGTCTAAAAATCAAAACCTTAGTGAACAACACTCTGTACTGTTAGACAGCTTCTCACTGGGAGCAGGCTTCTGCTCCCATATCATCTGAGTTTCTGCTCACTGCCTTCTATGCTACAGATGTCCTTAAATGACCATGATTACCTTTATGACCAAAAGACTCAAAGCAATAAGCTCCTTGAAATGCTATGTATGCACTCCTAGGCATATATCCAAAAGATTCTCAAGTACACAATAAGGACATTTGCTCAACCATGTTTGTAGCAACCTTATTTGTAATAGTCAGAAGCTGGAAACAGCCCAAATGCCCCTCAGTGGAGGAATGGATGCACAAATTGTGGTATATCTACACAATGGAATATTACTCAGCAATAAAAAACAAGGAAATCATGAAATTTGCAGGTAAATGGTGGGATCTGGAAAAGATCATCCTGAGTGAGCTGTCCCAGAAGCAGAAAGATGCACATATACTCACTCATATAGATATATAATATAGGATAAACCTACTAAAATCTGTACACCTAAAGAAACTAATCAAGAGAGAGGACTCTTGCTAAAATGCTCAATTCCTATCCAGAAAGGCAAAGAGGATGGACATCAGAAGGAGAAAAGAGGGAACAAGTCAGGATCCTGACACAGAGGACCTCTGAAAAGCTCTGCCCTGCAGACTATCAATGCAGATGCTGAGACTTATGGGCAACCTTTGGGCAGAGTGCAGGGAATCTTAGGAAGGAAGTGGGAAATAGTAAGATCGGAGAGGACAGGAACTCCACAAGGAGAGCAACAGAACCAAAAAATTTGAGCACAGGAGTCTTTCCTGAGACTGATACTACAACCAAGGACTATGCATGGAGATAACCTAAGACCCCTGCACAGATGTAGCCCATGGCAGTTCAGTATCTAAGTGGGTTCCATTGTAATAGGAACAGGGACTGTCTCTGACATGAACTGATTGGCCTGCTCTTTAATTACCTCCCCCTGAGGGGGAAGCAGCATTACCAGGCCACAGAAGAAGACAAGGCAGCCACTCCTGATGAGACCTAATTGACTAGGATCAGAAGGAAGGAAAAGAAGTCCTCCCTTATCAGTGGACTTGGGGAGGGGCATGCATGCAGAGGGTGGAGGAAGGGAGGGATTGGGACGGGAGGAGGGAGAGAACTACAGAGGGATACAAAGTGAATAAAGTGTAATTAATAAAGAAAAAATGCTAGGTATGTCTCTGTTCTGCATTTATAACAGTCTATCCCGTGACTCGGAAGTATAAATACTGCTGAGGAACCACATTCTAGCTATCAGGTAACCAACAGAGACAAGCATTGCTGCACAGACATGCTGCACAACTGTGTTCTGAACTTGGCAAGGCATTAAAGGGTTAGTTCCCCTGGGTAAAGAGAAGGGGGTGGGGAGCCCCCAGAGCATATGTGCTGCATGGGTTTGTGTCTGCCCCGGACACTGAGCAAGATGGAACACTGTGGCCAGGACTGTGCAGGCCCTGCAAGCCCTGCAAGTGGGTGTGAGCCAAAACTCTTCTGTTGCTCCTTGATAACTGTGGTGCAAACGTCTGCTATGCAGGATGTCTGATATCTGAGCCCCAAAGGGTTCATCGCCCCCTGGTTGACAACTGCTGCCGCACTAAAGGCTCCTACTGAGGTGCCCAGCACTGAGCTCTTCCCAACTCTAGCTCTTCTAGGCCGCAGCAATGAGATGTGATGGATTTCCCTACGAGAAGCCTATTCAACTTAGCAACAAAACAATCACTCATCTTTGTATATGCAAGGGTTCCTCAGCACTGTGCTGGGTGTCTTATGCTAAGCACTTAGGTTTTGGCAAGTTAGTATAGGGTCATAAAACAGATTGAGAATTAAAGAAACAAGCCTGAAATGTCTTGGAGCTGGTTCTCATACACAACTGTAGCCTACTGATACTGAGGCATATTTTCAACATCAAAAGAGTTATCCTTTAAAAAGTAGAATCCACCCACAGGAAGAAACTGGGAGAAAACCAAAGGAACTGAAATGTTTGAGGAGCATCAGCTGTGGCATTTTACAGCAAATGTGAGCAGCAGAGCAGAGAGGCTTTGCCACTGATAAACATTTCACAATATCAAAATGCTGCTCAGCACTGGGCACAGAGGCAGATTCCTCTATGAAAATTAGGGACTGCCAACGTGACAGACTTCCTCCTGGCCACCGAAGCCATTAGGGCTGCAGATCTAATGTGTCCTGGCCTCTGTGATAGAGTTGTGTTCTCTTCTGCTTCCAGCTGATTTACTGGGTATTTGTTTGTAAAGGCCTTTGAAATGCTTCAGAGCTATTTCACAATCCTGGATTTCACATCGCTGTTTTCGGTAACTGTCTGAGACTAAAGACATTATTTGGGTTCTGAATAGATTTGTCCAAACCAGCAGAGAGAATACATATGTGTAAGGAAAATACAGTTTTCTAAAACCAGTGCGGATTAATTTGAAATAAAATGAGAACAGTGTTAGCAATTACAGTTTGGACAGGCCGAACTGATACAATCTATCTTCCCACCGTGATCTGTGTCCCTGTGCTCCGTGCAAGGCTGCTGCTGCTGCTGCTGTTTTGGGTTCCCAGCTTGTCAGGTGTCTGAGGCCACCTGCTTCACCCTGAGGACTAACCTCACCAGTCTGCAAGATGCCCTTCCTTGTGCTCTGGGGTTATTTTTCCCACCACACGCTCATATTGCAGGGCTACGCATACTGTGACTTGAGCCTGAGTTGCTGAGAAGTTACTTACTTCTGTGGCTTGGATTCTCCTGAGACAAGAAGGTTACAAGACTAAGGAAGTGTGACTGCAGGAGGGTGAACAGCCAGAGAGCTGAACAGGAAAAGAAAGCCCAGAAGGTGTTTGCATCTGACACTGAGTGGACATTGGTCCTGTTGCTGTCCTTCTGACAAAGAACATCTGCCTGAGACTCGCCCTCGCGTGGACGCTTTGCAGCTGTTGTTACCTGCACAGGACCAGAACAACTGGGACCCTCAGCTTAGCCTCATGGAGTGGGGGTGGGACGGCTCATGAAGCCACACTCCTCCAAGAGGGGCTAGTGACAGTTAATGGCTTGCCCAGGCTCCCAGCTCAGCGGGGCTAACATGGAAAACAACAGGAAAGCTGGGAAGGGATACCACAGACGAGGAAGATGGTTGGAGTTTAATAGTGGCGAAAATGACTAAAAGTCGTCATATAATATATTACATACACTTACAAATTTGTCACAGAATAAATAGAGGAGAAATAAGAATTGACCTAATGTCAAATTCTGTGACACTCATTCTTATTTTTTAAAAACACATTCATTTCATTTAATTATTTTCCACTCGGATCAGTGTTTTCCTGTGTGCATCTATGTGCACTAAGTGTATGCGGTGCCCACGGAGGGCAGAAGAAGGCGTCAGGCCCCGGGACTAAGGTCTCAGGTAGTCATGGCTGCCGTGTGGGTGCTGGGAATCGAGCTGGGGTTCCCTGGAAGAGCGCCAGTGCTCTTCACTATGGAGCTGTCTCTTCATCCCCATCTCCTTCTTAATTTTTATAAAGACGCTACTACTGTTAGTAATGGTTAGTAAAAGTTTTCTCAACTAACCCAAACCACTGCAAACAACAACAACAACAACAAAAATAAAAACAAAAACAGCAGCATCCACAGAAGAAGGGGGAGATCAGATTTCCCAGCATGCTCTACATTATCCTGCTAAGCAGGTCTCAGGGCAGCTACATACCAGCTGAGTAGCAGGAATTGTTGGGCAGCGTTCTTGGCATGTTCTGGATACACCGGAACAGGGTCACCAGGCTCAGCTCATCCCCGAAGACATGAACTTTCTTCCTCTGGATGAGATGACCCATGGCAAAGATGGTGTCCGTGTATAGGACCTGAGGAGCAAGCCAGTATGCCATCAGATGTGCAGGACAGTGAGCGCGCTGCGGCAGGGACTGGGGGGAGATCGGACATACCTGGCTGTAGATGAAGAAGTAACCCGTTTGCCTCACCACTATTTTGTTCTCTTTTTCCTCCAGGGCGTTTCCTCTTTTAAAGCTGAGAAGCCATGGGACAAACGTGTAGGACCCTGGGGTGGAGCGGATTACTCATGAGAAAGCAAACTGAGGAAAGCAGGTCTCCCTTCCATTGAGTTTGAAACCGCACATCACATATTCTTAAAACTGGGAGGAGGAGGAGGACTATCTTCCACTGGACTGCCTGCCACACATGTTTGAGCATGAGCAGCCTCAGATGCGCATGCCTGAGAGGCCTCACTCCACAGCATTGCCTGGGTTTCCTTTGTTGTTCTGTACGGTGGCTATTTCTTTATGAAGGTTTGGATCTGGGGTTGAAAGAAGGCTGAAGGAGAGAGCAGATGGCACTCTGCACAGCACACTGAGGGAGTGTGTTCTTCCATCTCCTGAGTAATGAGGTGAAGAGCTTTGGAAAATGTGCCTGAAGGAAGTAAGTCCACCCCCAAGCTGGCAGCCAAACACAGCTAGGAAATGCAGACAGCCCTTCCCAGACTGCCCTGGGAAGGGCTCAGAACCTGTGGTACCAGGGTTATGACATTCAGGCCTTGGAGGGGCTCTGTTCAATGCCATGAGACCTTAATCCTATCCAGAGGGGCAGGAAGGTGGTATGCTCAGGGTTGTACTGAGTGTGTACAGGAAGGGCACACAGAGCAACAAGCAAGGGAACCAAGCCAGCAGGCCCGCATGAAGCAGGGTGCTTCCTAGACCTCACGCCAGGAGAAAAAGACAAATGTGCATTTCCTAGGAAGAGCTTGCTCAGACAGCAGTGTGCACAGACGCAGCATGCAAACGTTGATATTAGGCTGCGGCACAACACTAGACAAGGAAAGGAGCCATAAACTAAATGAAGGGAGCAGCTGCAAAAGAACAGGGACATGGCACAGTGAGGACAGAAGAGCAAGCAACACTGTGGTGTGAGTCTAAACAAGCCAGACTGTTGTTAGACAGTCTGTCCTAAAATGTCACCTCAATCAGAAAAAGGGGGTGGGAGGAATGGAGGTTTCAAAGGCCAATCAAATGAGTCGAAAAGAGACGCTATATTCACATCCATATTTCTGCATCTATCTCACAGATTCATGCATACTGTGACAAAGCACAGGCCACCCTTCTTTTCGACAACCACGTGGCACCATCCCTTCTTGCCCACATCACTGTAACCCACTCTTCTGTTGACGGACATCAAGTTGATTTCTTGGCTGTTCTGATTGCTACTACAATGAGCCTGGGAGAACATACGAGTGTTTCTTTAGAATATTGATTTAGTTTTCTTTATAAACCCAGAAGTGGAATTGCTAACTCATACTGCAGTTCCACTTTTAAGTTTTTTGAGGGGGGGAGCGCCATAATTTTTTTCTACAGTGGCTGTACTAATTTATATTCCTAATTCAAATACGGCTCTTATCAGAAGAAGACTAAACAAGAACTGCATATTTTCTGAAAATTTGAAGGAGCTAAAAAAACATCAGCAGTAAAACAAACCAGATGCCGCTCAGGCTTTCGTGAGTAAGGATCACTAAGGTGGCTCCTCCAGGAAGCATAGGTGGGGGAGGGGTAGATGCTGGGGGAGAGTGGGTTGGGAAGTGGGGTGCAGAAGCATCACGGGACCTCTCCAGCCTGTGCCTTGTGTACAGTCACTCCCTGGAGGCGATTCCCTTGTGTGTGCACCACTGGGTGTGCCAGTGATGGTCAGGTAATAAACCCAGAGAGACTGAGGCCACTTCAAGTAGCGAAGGCTAGCCCTCTTCACTGTATGCAACACAATCCCAGTGAGGCTCCTGTCATGAATCAGTTCTTATTTTGTTTACATGACATGATGTGCCCAAAGTGTTTTAAGTCACTGAATACTGAACAGCCAAGGAAGACTTGGTATAAAGATTGCTGGGAGTCGGGCATGGTGGTGTGCACCTCAGGACGACCGCAAGCTGGGAGTTTGAGGCCAGCCTGGTCTACCAGAGCAAGTTCCAGAACAGTTAGGCTATACAGAGAGATAATAATACATAACGAATAATACATAAGGAAGCAAACAACAACAACAAAAATCAGTATTGCAACAGAATTTTAAAACAATGATTATGCTGAAGGTGATTGTGTTCACGGTTTATTAGAAAGGAGCTGATAATTTCAGCATAGAGGACCTCCCCCTCACAAAGCACACACACCGCGGGTTGCAACTCCACTGGGCTCAGGCCTGCTGGTTCGTCCGCCTGCTACTCCCCAGGGCTTAAGTAGTTTTTATCCCATCACAGACATGCATCTAATAATCGTTGAATTAGTAAGTTCCAATTTAAGCCCAAAATAACTCAAACTGATGATTGCTGTGGTATTAGCCACAGACACTCGCCAGCCTTTGTAAAAATTTGGCTAAATATGCTACTGAAACTGTGGGAAATGAAACACCACCCCTTTTAGAGTTGGTAGAGAAACCTGCCAACAGATTTCTAAAGTACTTTGTAAAAAAGTATTTGCTTACTAAGTTTTGTCTTGATTAATTTAAATTTATTTACTACCTCTTTACATTATACCTATTTTGCCTTTTTTTTTCAAATATCCTGATTAAAAAGAGAGCTCATGCATGCTTGTTTTTATTCACTCTTCATATTCATCTTCTACTGTATGCATGCACACAGGCACACACGCTCGCACGCACAAATATAGGCACACACACAGCCACAGGTTAAAACCTCCGTGATCAGAGTTGATTAAAGTCAACTGTGCTTTCAAATGCCTGCAGAGCCAGCCAATTTGCTCATGTTAATTCTAAATCCTTCAAGCAAACAAACCAGGCAACATGTCAAAAGCTTACAGGAGTTGAAAACTTAAGTATAAGTATCACAACATGCTTAAAATGCACTCAGAATTTCACTATAGGCATCAGGCTACAGATAAACGAAAGCACTAGCTTCTGTGTTGAGACCATCTAAGCTGCTATGCCTTACTCCCTGTGCGAGACCATGTGGGGATCTGGGGGCAAGTACGAAGTGTCCCGGCACCACTGTTGTCAGCTAAAGGCAGACATCGTTTTGTAGTGTGTGAGCTCAGTTGTAGGTGATTGACGTATTAAAGTGCTTTAAAATAACAAAGCTAATACATGAAAGGAATAAAAGTGTCAGTGATGACATGTAGCGATAACTCACACGCTTTGCCCAAGCGTGCCCAGTAAAATGTACGTCTGCTTTCTTCAGACTCTACCGAGAGTTAAAGGTCACCTTGACCTCCATGAAATGCCCAGCGCACTTTCAAGGTGTAAGTGAACAAAAGACTTCCGGTGCCTTTGGGTGGAAAGCCTCATCCCTTCCTATCTGTGGAGTGGCCAGGGCCCCAGCTTGACTGAAAAAGCCATGGAAGTACTGAGGAAGGACCCCAAGGCTTCGGAAGGAAAATGTGAGGTGTGGTCTGGAGAGATAGCAGTAGAAAGTACTTCCTGTGCAATTGTAAGGACCAGGGTTAAGTTCCTAGCACCCACATTGCAGCTCAGAACCTTCTGTAATTTCAGTTCCAAGGGCTCTGATGCCCAATTCCAATTTCTGCAGGCTCCAGCTATACATGTGGTGTGCATACATACATACAAGCAAGTACTCATACACATGATGTAAAATAAACACATAAAAATTTTAAAAAGAATAAAGGCACATTAATACAAACCCAGAAGGGCATTGTCTTGGTGGCCCATCCTGAGTAAGTCAGCACCACAAAACTCAAGCAAACGGATATGGAGGAGAAAAACCACAACAAAGACTTGCATGGTGGCTGAATATGTTAATCTATAAAACAGAGACAGAAACAAAAAATAATGGCTTAACAGGAAAGAAAAATGTATACTAAGCCATCACAATGTAGATTATACAACAGAAGTGTTGGTAAGTGAAGATCCATTTACCGTAAATCCACCAGTTGCTTCATTTGTAACAGCTCAACAAATGTGATATGGACAAGTCAAGTAGCAGAACTTCGAACATTTTAACAGCACACAAATTTCATTAAAAAGTATCACATCACTGTCCAAGACTGCATGCCAGAGGACTGGAAGAACAGCCGTCAACAACTTATTTAAGATGAGGGGGGGGCAGACACTGTTTAACAAGGTGATGAGATATCCCATGCACCCTATAAGGAACAGCTGGATAGAATAGAGTCAGCCTCTTCTGATCAAATTTACACCAGCTGTGAAGGTCAATGGAGAATGGCAGGCTGCACAGCCTTAGCAGGAAAGACTGTGTCGTCGTCTTCTTACCCACTTACTATTTTGGCAGGAGCCATGGAGATGGAACCTGAGCTCCTGGCAGCCACTGGCTTATATGAGGCCTACAGTGCTCACCGTGCTGGTAAAACAGTATGGGTGTGTGTGTGTGTGTGTGTGTGTGTGTGTGTGTGTGTGTGTGTGTATCATGGAACACATGTAGAGATCAGAGGAAACCTGTGGAAGTTGGTTTTCTCCTTCCACTGTGAGTTCTGGGTATTGAACTCAGGTTGGTTACAAGTGTCTTTACCCACTGAGATATCTCTTCCCCAAAAGCTGTACATGTTTATGGGTCTGGAGACTCCACTCTGATAGAAAAAGCACACTAGATTGGCACCAAACAAAAAGGACTCTGGGAAACACACAGCCTTAGCCACCAGAAGCAGGAGATAGAGGATGGACAAGCAGCTGACTTACCAAGCACCCTGGAACTGAGATGCCAGGACCAAAGCTGGGGGAAATACATCTCTGAAAGGGCACCACACCCAGCCAGTGAGTCTAAAGAGCAACAAGCATGCCCAGGTCTAGACACTAACTCAGCAGTGCCCTGAAAGAATGCTAGGCTTACATTTTACAGAAGTCTCATTTCTGAGGCTGTGATGAAATACTCTTGCAGAAGCAGTTTAAGGGAGAAAGAGTTTATTTTAGCTCATCATTTCAGGTTATAAGCCCATTATTGCAGGGAAGTCACAGCAGCAGGAACTTGAAGCAACTAGTCACATTATATCCATAATCAAGAGAAGAGAGCATGAATGCATTGCATGCTTTTGCTTCCTTGATTGGATGCTTCAGTTTCTTCATCCTTACTCAGTTTAA